TTTTTTTTTTTTTTTTTTTGTGCCGAATCGACATTCATTGGGTAGCACGATGGGGACCTCCTTAGGCCCCGATATCTTCATGAATTCTTCTTATCTCATCTCTACGAAGCTAATGAGATTGATTTTATCCGATGAGATAACCTATAGAAGCTCAATTTTTAATTACGCAACGATTTTCTTTAATTACCCTTGATCTTTCCATTGTCTTTCTTGATTTTCACGAGAAATGATCATTGACATCTAGAAAACGATTGGCTTAGATGAGAAGAGGCGAATTTGCTCGTGGTCTCTGATTGACATGACGGCCTTATTGGAAAAACACGTTTTGGACACTTTCAGCTCTTAAATCCTTTTAAAACGTGTTGGGTGCTTATTTAGAACGTTTAGGACAAAGAAATTCGTTAACCATAGATCTCGAATTTAGAATTGAATTCTTATCGTTCGATCTAAAGTATTTTCAATCTTCTTGAATATACTAAAATTTCAGCTCGATTCAATATTTGAATTTTGAGATTCCATCGATTTTGTGCAGGTTGCTCACCGTACCATCTTATATTTTCTAACCAATTGCAAATATCTTGAACTCTATGGGTATTTTGGTAATTTGTCATTTTCGAAATATTTTTTTATTACTTTTTTAGAAAAATCAAAATATTTTCTAAAAGTCCTTGATTTTTTTGGGGTCATTTTTCATTGAATTAAAAAATCAAAGAGGTCTTTTAAGAATTAATAAAATTACCATTTTGCCCTTTTTGCATACTTTTTCTTACCTTATAAAACATTTTAGGACATCGAAATAACTTACTCATGCCCCGTGTCCTTGATCGGGTCTCTTAATGTTCACATTTGATTCCTCAAACTTATACTTAACATTTCTTGTATTTTCTGAACAAAAAATTAAAGGATATTTTTTAAATTGTTTTAAAAATTAGTATTTTAAAACAAAATATTAACGGTTTTCATCCAAAATTAATGACAACCTTCCTCAAAAATTAATTTTTTTTAAAAAAATAATTTTAATTAAATTTAAATATGATTTATAATAAATACTTCACAAATTAATTATAATTAAATTATTTGCTTAAAATACCCATTCTAATGTCGCTATAAAAAAAATCCTTCCAAAACATAAATAAATAAATAAATATAAATATAAATATATATATAAATATAAATAAATATATATATATATATATAGGAAAAGGATTTTCCGTATCCAATAAGACCACTTTTGCCCCAATTTACAAAAGTCGCCTCTTCTACTCTCTCAATCCGTCTTTGTTATTTTCTCTCATTCATTGTTTTCAAATTCATTTCTTTTTCCTCGGAATCGTTCTCTCTGGAATTCATGGCGGTATGTCATCGCTTGATTAATGTTTTGTAAGGATTTTTGTTTTTTTGTTCTTGCTTTGATGTGCTTCTCGATCGGTATGAGCTTTTCTTCCTGCTGAATTTTCCGTTTTCTTGCTTCGATTCGCCAATTTGATTTGTTTGTTTGTTTGTTTGTTTGATTTCCTTAAGGATTGTTCAATTCCGGGTTTGAATAGTTTGCACTTTGATTTATTTGTTCCTTTTCCTGATTTTGAAGCTGTTCTAGTTTTTTTCGGACGAAAATCTGGATTTTAATTCGTTGTTCGAGGTCGTTTCTAAACTTTCAATCAATAAATCGTTGGCTACATTCAAATATATTGTGCTCTTGGAGAAAACTTTTTAATTGGTCCATTGTTTATTGTTTGATGGAATCGTATCGGATTTGATGGTATTTACTAAATCTGTAGCCATAAAGCAATATTGTATGGATGTTAGATTCATAGTCTGATTGTTAATGAAAGTTACCAGATTCACAGAGGGTACATTTTGCTATTCTCTCTTTCTGTAGGACAAGGGTCGGCCATTGCCCAAATTTGGTGAGTGGGATGTTAATGATCCAACATCTGCTGAGGGATTTACTGTGATATTTAACAAAGCTAGAGATGAGAAGAAAACAGGCGGCAAACCTGATTCACCTGGAAAAGTTGATGCACAGGGCAGGCCTGGAGCAAATCCTGCCAAGGCACCGCCTGTAAGATATCATTCATAATCCCTTTCCATTTTTGCCGTTGGGTGGTCGTCTTAGATGGCATGTCTATTGATAGTATTAACTAATTGGCATCTAAAGAATGTTTCTTTTGCAACATTAGACCATTGTTTGATCTATTACTGTCAATGAATTTCTGAGAGTGTTACTTATGATTAGTGTGAGTGTGTATGTATGTACATATATCTGCATTGAGGTTTGTTCAAATTCTGGGGAAATATCATCATCTGGAATTGAAACATGTCGATGAGGTACCTCGAACAGTTTTTAGGAGGGATGAGATCACATCATTTAATGTTAAAAATTTAGCATTTGTTTGATTGTATATGCCTTGTCAGGAACTGTGTGCGCGTGGAACATGAATTTCCTAGTTTTATATATCTTTGAGAGGGCTCGGGTTCTTGTTGCACAGATGTAGTCATTTGAGTTGAATGGCTTGATCGTGGTGCTTCGTTTACTCTTTTCTGGTTCTTATGTGTATAAAATGAATAATCTGCAGTTTTACCTTACATAATGTATTTACAAGTTTTCTTTGGACTTTTTTTTTTTTTTTTCCTCATGTGGATGATTATCAGAAGAAATGGCTTTGCTGTATCCAAAGTCCCCCTGCTGAGTCTTGAGAAGGTTGGGTTAAGAGGTCTCAGTTGAAAAACATATTATTCTATAGTCGTGTCTGCTGTGGCCTCTCGAATACGATGAACCTTCATGCAGCCTTGAAGGTCCTACTAAATTTTATTCAATTTCATGTAAATCTGAGTGTTGTTGTGGAGGAAGAAGTAAAAGAAGACGAACATGTATTGTATTCATACTATTAATATGGTGGTTTTTTATTAGAGGATAAAGTTGCTATTCTGTCTTTGCCTTTAGTGTGAGCTGTAAAGCTTTGCACTGGACATCATGTATAATTGTGGTTGGTATAATTAATGTAATACAACTCTTTTGCTTTTCTTTTGACATAGCCTTTTCCCATAACACAAACATTTATTTGACCAACAAGATTCGAACCTAGGACCCACAAAGGAAAGTACTTGATCTCTGGTTTAGTTTGCCTATAACACAAACTACACACACTTAGAGATACACTTTTACAGAGCCTAGAAAGCAAATCTTTGAAGTCTATTTTAGGAGAGTAAAAGATAAAGGTAGCGAACTCTCGAATCCCCGAAAACGAAAGATACCCCTACATGTACTATCCCAAATTAGAGTAGAAATGAAAAGGAAATACAAGTGGCTAGAGCGTATATGAAGGATTTAATGGTCAGGGAGGTTGGCATCCTGCCCTTATCTGTTCTAAAGAAAAGTCCTTGATACAGAGGCCAATTGATCAGAACCAGAATCCCACAAAGAAGAACCTGCAAGACCATTGTATGAAAGACCATCACCAAACCACTGCCACTCTCTACTGCTTTCTTCACCGTCCCAAGAAAGCAAAGCAAATTAACCAAAGAAATTGTTGCTATTATAGTAAACATTGGGGAGGAAGCTCCAAATTCCATCATCTCCTTTTCATATCTTTTGGAGACTTCTTCATCAGTCACTTTAGCTGTGATTACAAATGCTGAATCAGAAAACCCAAGTATCTTCAAGACTGTGTCTATAAAAGCAAAGAGATAGGAACTTGTTCTCTTATAGAGCCAAATCCTCTGATCATTCCACCACCCTAGGATTGTTCCTCCAGCCGACAAAAACTCCACGAAACTAGCAGCATACTTCGCAAGTATCACATATGTGAAGGGTACTAGCCATGGGCTTGAAACCTGAGTAAACGAAGCAGTAAGCTGCAAGTCGATCGACAATTTTCAATACTATGAAGTTTAGAAATTGGCTGGGAAGTTGTTTACCTGAGGAAACAAGGGAACACCTCTTAGGAGGTAAAGTGAAGGGATGATGGAGTAATATATTGTTGCCAAGGAATTAACAGCCCAAAGACAATAGATGCAATATCCCATTCGTAGGCCTAGACTGATCTTTCCACGAGCATGCCATGCAGGACTGGACCTAGAAAGAAGAATCTGAAGGTCTCCTTCCGACCATCGCTTATGTTGAACTAGTGTCTGAAGTAACGTGGTTGGTGCAACACCTAGGAAAGCTCCCCTCTCTGGGTTGCAATAAACTGATTTCCATCCCTGGCATTGGATTGACAACCCAGTTATAACATCTTCTACAGGACATCCATATCTCAGACCCATCTGCAATTTAGAACTTGTTGATCAGGCTCAGAAATGTGAGAGAGGAAGATATATAGAGGAAGAGATGGACGAGCAAAGAGACCGACCTCTTTTCCCCATTGAGTGTTCTCTTCATATGAACAGCTTGCTAGATGCTTTGATTTTTCTTCTAGTTCATTTACACTGTCTTTAGAATTCCTGTAGTCACTGTTCCAGTTATTTCTGTATCCCTTGCTGTACTTTTTACCACAGAGAACGTCTCTTCTGTGAAAGCAGCCTGTTCCTATATATATTGGGCCTTCGAAACCATCGAAACCAGAGAATTCCACCTGCAAGAAAAAAAACTATATAAATTTCCGCCCATTATTTGAATTACTGAACAACTGAAACAAAGCTACCTATAAACCTTTTGAACTTTCTGGTACTGACTACCACTTACCTCACTATGGACTCGTAAAGTACTTGAGTAGATTTCATTCTTCAATACATTGTCAAACTTCTGTGGAAATTGCACATATGCGATCTCGTGGCCCTTCTCTTCATCCATAAAAAAGCAAAGTGCATCTCTTATGGCATCAGAATTGTTTGAATACATATCACAGTCGACATTGAGTATGATTTGCCCATTGCTTATCTGCGATGAGACCCGAAGCTGAAAATGGAACCATGCACAACCAGGTTAGTACTACTCACGTAACATGTTCTAAGCATTAACTAGTATCTATGTAGATCGAATGATATCTGATTGTGAAAAGTAGTTTTAATCATTGCATTAGCTTGATATTTAAGGTGCTATAGTTCTATTCTCGAACAAATTTAACTTTTGCGAAGGTGTGTGTAGATTCAGGCCTTTGTCTCTCTTTATGAACACATTCAAGTAGATAATTACCAGCGCATTCATGGCTCCAGCTTTGAAGTTGTGGAAATATTGAGGACTCTTAGCACGAGCCAAATACACTAAAGTTGGTAACCTAGACCCCTCAACATCTGTGGCTTTTGTATCTCTCCCATCTATTAATATCTGGGATGTTGGGAACAGAAAATCAAATATTAGAAATACTTGCATCTCTAGATTAAGGCTGTTGGAGAAAGTAACATGGGAAATTGTAAACAGAGTGATGTGTGCAATCTTTAATGTATGTAATCTGATGTGCTTTGAATTTTTCATGAAGGCAAAGTGACAGAAATTACCTGAAGGATAGTATCGTGGTCGCGTCGAGATGTATAGGTTTCCCACTGGGAAAACCCTTTACTACTTGACCGTATTTCTTCAGGAACCCGACCTAGCTCAACCGCAGCTTTGATTCTACTCTCCATGTCTTTGTATAGTTTCTACAAAAGAAGAAACCATTCAGGTAAAAGCAGCCATTAGTGCCAACTTGAAATATTTTCAATATTGCATGCTGTGTTTCATTGTTCGGTTTTAGTTCAAAAACAAGCTATGATCTAATACAGATATCACCTGTTACATGTAGCTGGTTGGACTGTTTAAATAGGAAACTAACTTGAAATGATAATGATGGCTGTATGCAGTAATTATGCCTTTCATCAGAATCTAGTTAACTTAAAAAGAATGATTTGATTTCTTTATTTTTTATCTGATTACACATATTTTATCGGATCAGGGATTCAAATTCAAATGAAATAGAACATAAAAAGTACCTGAACAAAGACTTCTTCGTTGCTCTGATGATCAGTGTGTAAGGCAAAGTAAGCTGCAGGTGCCCTTGGTTGGATGTTGAACTTCTTGCAAAATGGTATCCAGTGCTTTGCAAATTGAGAGGCCTCCATGAGAGCATAGTAGGTGAGCTCGGAGCCTGCATCGTCAGAGAGGTACACGCTGAGCTTCTCGGGCGGGTAATCGTATGCCATGACTGATAATACTGTGCTGATGACCATAGCTGGTGGCTCCATCTCAGGATCTGCCGTGCACACAAATATGTCCACTCCAGGTAGGTGTCCCTCATGCCTGTTCACAACAACATCCCATTTGAAAAATCACATAAACCAAGTTGGAGAAACAGAGAGGGAGCTTGTTCCTCGTTTTCCACAACAATATCCCAATTCAAACATCATAGAATCCAAGTGAAAGAAACACTGAAACTGAGAGAGAGGGAGAGAGAGCGACCTCTTAGAGAGGTTGTGTTTAAAAGTGCGCCTGTAAATATGATTACAACGAGGAGCCTGAGTGAGAATCCAGTAAAATCCGAACCATATCTCAGCAGCAAACAAACCAAACCAACCCCATCTTCCTTCTTCTTCTTCTTCTGGTACAAACCTCACTCTGTAACTCCAAATGAAACAAATCCCCACGAAAATGGAGGCTGCAAAAACCCTATATGCAACTCTCCCCTTACCTTCTATAGTCTCAAACAATGGCAAATACCCTTCACTTCCCATCTCTCTCTCTCGAATATATCAACCTCGTAAGTGTACATATATATATATATATAGTTGCAATGGGTTGGGATGAAAGAAGTGGAAGATAAATTAATGAGTAGGGCCAAAGGGTTGCAGCAAAGAGAAGCCAAGTTTATGGCAAACACTAATGGAGGTATAATTCTGTATATGAATGATGTTTGTTTATGTTTAATAGGGTTAATCCTGAATATTGAATGTTGACTTTGAACACTTGAATTTAGAACAGATATAATAATGATGATACATCTGACATGTTCATCGATATCTTGCCCATAAGTCTAGGGAGATGAGCTTGTGAAAAGGTGAGTGGGGACGTGGCAGGGCAGGTAGCAGCAGAAGCAAAGTCGTCTATGAAAGAGAGGAAGAAATTGGATGCTGGTTTTGCCCATTTTTGAATCAGAAATTCCTGTTTGTACAAACTTCTTCTTCTTCTTTTTTTGTTTTTTGTATTAATTTATGTATTTATGTTTGAAATGATTTGCGTTGTTTTGCTTCTCACATGTCACTTTTAATAATGTTGTCCCCACTCAATATCTCATCCCACATGTCATCCTCACTCATGTTACTTGATTCAAATTACTTTTAACTCAAAATAGTAAAATTTACTTATTTAGGTGGGTTAAATTTTTTAGAAATCGAGACATCATGGTTGATACTTTTTTTTTCTTTTTGTTGAGTCAACTTGACCAATCCAACTAATTTGAAGGTATGATTACAACACGCCCTAAACTTAGTTATGTCAATAGAATCCTCAAATATCGAACAAAGTCGAAGGTGTAGTTAAAAGTGACAAAGTGTTGAACAAAGGTGTACTTTGTTTGAGGGCTCTAGAGAAAGGAGTCGAGCCTCGATTAAGGGGAGGCTATTCGAGAGCTCCATAAGCCTCAAGGGAGGCTTATAGTGTACTTTGTTTGAGGGGAGGATTGTTGAGAATTATTGGGAGTGAGTCATGATCATGAGATTATTGGGAGTGAGTCTACACTATTTAGGAAATGATCATGAGTTTATCTCTAATTTAGGGAATGATCATGAGTTTATCTCCACTGGTATTAGGCCTTTTGGGGAAGGGCAAAGCAAAGTCATGAGAGCATCATACCATTATTATGTCCACTGGTATGAGACCTTTTGAGGAAGTCCAAAGCCCAAAGCCAGCCACGAGAGCTTAGGTTTATGAGGCCTTTTGGGGAAGCTCAAAGTCCAAAGCAAAGCCATGAGAGCTTAGGTTTAGAGTGGACAATATCATATCAGTGTGAAGAGTTGTTTCTGAAGAATATTTGTGTTTGAAATTTTAGTTATTAATGTTACTATAGATAAGTAGGATTTTTTTTAAAAATTACTTGACAACTAGCCCGACAACCCAACTAGAAAATAGATGATCGGGTTAGGTTGGGTTATGAATTTTATTCAAATTGCTCAATTTGACTCGTGTACATCCATATTTCAAACACGTGTTCTTTTTCTCACACAAAATTAGAAAAATGTTGGTATTTCATTTTTTTTTTTAAGAAACTATTTGAATTCTTATAAATTCCAAATACTCAACTGTTACGCAAAACTTGATATCTTTATTCAATTTTTAAATGGGAGTCGTATTTATAAGCTTAATTTTTTTAAATAATTAAAAATTAAATAGTTATTACTAACAAAATTTTGGCTATAAAATGTAACTAAGAAATTGATATGGAATAATATGTATATAATTGATAGTTTATTAGTCATTGCTATTTAAATTCAAATACGAAATTATTACAAGAATACACCATTTATTTTATTCATGAATTCTCTACATATAATTAATACTTTAGGGCATGAAAATTACAATATTAAATATATTAGAGAATTAAGTAATATTTAATAGTTGGATAATAAGTAACAAAGTTTAATCTTATAATATAAAAAATGCTAACGTAAATATGAACCAATATATTAGATTGGATTATTATTATTATTTTGTTTATGTTAGGTTAAATTTTTGGAAAACTTAAAATTCGGATCAGTTTGCTATTGGGTGAACCTGACCAATCCGAAAACAAGGCTGCAACTCGTGCTCAACTATACTTTTAAGAATATTATGAAAATTAAGAATATTTAACATTGTAACTGATGTTAACGATGCATACTACCTTATGAATGTTTGATATTTGAAGTCTATGAAATTTTAATTATTAACGTAATATGTATCGTGAATAAGTATGATTTTTTAAATAATTAAAAAATAACTCGACTACTCAACCGAACTAAAAATAAAAGGTTTTGTTAGGTTAGGTTGTGAACTTTATTAGGGCGGATAAGAGGTGCTTTCCCATTTTCTTAAGCAAATGGGTGGGGAGAGGAAAGGTTCTTTTTTTAGGGTACCCCCGAGAACATATTCAGTGAAAACGGGGTGGGACTTGTTACTTAGGGGATTAGAGCACGTGGCTACGAACCACGATATCAGGGGTTCGAATCCCTTTGGTGGTTAGAAAATCATGATCAAGATAGCGGACCCAAAATTATGGAACTGGGTGTGGGTCTCTTGTCGAAATAGAACGACCTTATTTTTTTTTTTTTTTCTTTTTTTTAATGGGTAAGGGTGGATTCTGTTATAAATTAAATATAGTATACCCGACAACCCGAATCAACAATTCTTAGTTTCTAAAACCTTATTATTGTGAAAATAATGTATCGTTTTATTAATGTCGAATATTTAATACTCTTATAGAGGTACGATTTTTTTTCCCATATCTTATTTAATTAATTCATTATTTGATAGTGAATTATCAAAGTTAATACGATCAATTATTTAATTAGTATTTTTAATTAATTAGATGAAATAAAAAATATTTATTAAAATATATACTTAAATCTTTATCACAAAAAAAATATATTAAAGAATGCAATTATGTATTTATAAAATATTAATTCACTATATCTAAAATATATTCAATTAGTTAATTAGAATTATCTAAATCAACTATAGTATAAAAATTTATTTTTTAATAATTATAACTAATTACCTATTATTTATTTGTAGTTAATTAAGTATTTGTGGGGATTACTTTTTGTTTGGTTTAATGTTTCATAATTATAATTTTTTTGAAATATTACCCTTCAACCGAGGATCGGAATAGTATTGAGCTAGTGAAGAACATGGATGACGAACAGACTAACATTTATCATGTTGTTTCCACCTAATAGAGAGAGTATTCCTTGAGATAGCACCTCAACTTAGATACCTATCGTTGCTGTGCAGGCTAGCTAGCTACCCAAGTTTGTGCACAGTAAGAACGATATATCTAGATCCTAGAGATAGCTCGTGATCTCCTACTAGGTCAAGGATGCAATAGAAGTCCACAAGTACGTTGCTTACAGGGTATATACTAATTCCTTTCTACGTTTTCTTTTTTAAATGCATGACGGTGTTGGTCGAGAGCTTAGTAGTCACAGAAGAATGTCAACAAGACATTTGTCTAGTCCATGTATTATGTAGTCGTCATTTCAGTACATATTTTGTATTTCATATCGCATTCCCTCTTTAAATGTACAGAACATACATCTAAACATGTCCTCCATTTCAGTTTGATATTGCAAACAATATTGTCAAGTTTTAAATTCACGCGATCGGTCTTCTCTCTTCTCATTCATTCATCTTGCATCGCATAGCCTATTTCGTCACATTATATATATATATATATATATATATATATATATATATATATATATATATGAAAAAGAATTAAGGAGAACATTTTTTTATAGAAAAATTAGAATAATAGAATTAGTCAAACTTGGTAACTCCCAAGAATTGACGTAAGAATTAGTCAAATTTTGGAATTATTACATTATTATATTATTTTTTTTAACCAAATACATCATATGTTGACTACTTTTGACTTTCAAACCAATAATAATAATAAACTAATTACTTTTTTTTATGTATATTTTAAATAATAAAAGATATATTTTTAAAAATCCGCTGCCAAAATTGACTACCGAAATTAAAATTGTAAAATTTGTTGAAAGAAAAAGAAGGTAACCGTAAAGAGGAAGAACCTAATTGAACTAAGCTGCCACAAGTCGAGAGAATGCATGGCTCATGCCCCCTTTAGAGGCCGAGTTCATTGAGTTGACTTGAATATATCTCGTGTTCGACGTTTTGTATTAGTTTAGTCTTTGATTTCTTTTGAAACTCGGATTTGTCTTTGTGATATCCCACATTGGTTGAACACTCTTTATAAGAATGTGAAAACCTTTCTCTGGCAAATGCGTTTTAAAGCCTTGGGGGAAGTCCGAAATGGAAAGTTCAAAGAGGACAATATCTACTAACGATGGGTTTGGGCCGTTACAAATGTTATTAGAGTCAAACACCGGACTATGTGCCAACGAAGAGACTGTTCTCCAAAGGAGTAGACACAAGGCAATGTGCCTATAAGGACGCTGGGCCCGGAAGGGGGGTGGATTTGGTGAGGACCCACATCAATTGAAGAAATAAACGAGTGTCAACGAAAACACTAGGCCCTGAAAGGGGTGGATTGTGATATCCTACATTGGTTGGGGAGAAGAACTAAACACCCTTTATAAGGGTGTGAAAACTTTTCCTTAAAAGACACGTTTTACAGCCCTTGAGGGGAAGCCCGAAAGAGAAAGCCCAAAGAGAACAATATTGGCTAGCGGTGCGCCTAGGCCGTTAGAGTCTTCTTAGTCCAATTTTACCTATAACGTTAGCCCTTCAGCACCTAATTGAGGTCCATGGCTCGACTTGTAATTTGCAGTCATTTTTGTCTGTCTCATTCTTAGAACGTTGTCTATTTGAACTTCAGGTAGGGAGATAACCTCAGTATGTTGCTAAAACATTTGCAAACAAACTTTAAAACCTGAAGATTGAAGCTTCTTCCTCACCCTTTACATTCTTACAGCTGCTTGTAGCAGCTATAAGCAATGGCAACACACATAGTAGCACAGATAACAGCAGCAACGGCATACGTATCTTCACGCTCCCAGCTCTCGAACCATGTCGGCATTGAGCCAACTTCACAGAAGGACACATCGCCACTGATGCTTCCCGAAGTTGGTTTTCCGTTGCTCTTTGCAGTAACAACAAATATAGGAATGTCGTTTGTATCTGAATCGATTACTGTTCCTGATAGTTCGGGGTTCTGACAACAAGAGGAGTAACCCTCTTTGTCTCCCCGACAGCAGGCTGCAACCTCGACACGAGAACTATAGAGATCGAAGTTTGGATCGTTGGTCTCGATTCGTGCCGACTCTTCCTTGCTTTTATGGCCATTCGTCTTGCTGATTAGACGTAGTCTCCGTTGTTGGCTCAGCTTCTGTTCTTCCTTTGACAAACCCATCTGACCCCTGAGTGATCATATGGAATATAGGATTAAAATGAATGTTCAACAATAGTTTTAGATTAAATAACATTTTAGTTTGTAGGACACTAGCTCATCTTAGTCACCAGCCTAAGTCCATCGCTATCAGATATTATCCTCTTTATGCTTTTTATTTCGGGATTTCCCTCAAGGTTTTTAAAACGCATCTACTAAAGAGAGGTTTTCACACACTTATAAAGAATGTTTCGTTCTCCTCCCCAACTCCAACCGATGTGAGATTTCACAATCCACCCCCTTCGAGGCCCAGCGAGCTAGCACTCGTTCCCCTCTCCAATCGATATGAGATCTCACAATCCACCTCCGCTTCGGGACCCAGCGTACTTGCTGGCACATCACCTGATGTTCACCCCCTTCGAAGCTCAACGTCCTCGCTAGCATATCACCCAGTGTCTGGCTTTGATACCATTTGTAATAGCCCAAGCTCACCGCTAGCAGATATTGTCCTCTTTGAGCTTTCCCTTTCGGCTTCCCCTTAAGGTTTTTAAAACATGTCTGCTACGGAGGGGTTTCTACACCCTTATAAAGAATGTTTCATTCTTCTCCCCAATTGATGTGGGATCTCACACTCCACACCCTTCAAGGCCCAGCGAGCTGGCACTCATTCCCCTCTCCAATCGATGTGAGATCTCACAATCCACCCCCCTTCAGGGCCAACGTACTTACTGGCACACCGCCTAATGTCCACCCCCTTCGGGACTCAGCGTCGATACGATTTGTAACCGCCTAAGCTCACCACTAGCAGATATTGTCTTCTTTGGGCTTTCCCTTTCAGCCTTCCCCTCAAGATTCTTAAAACACGTTTGCTAGGAAGAGGTTTCCACACCCTTATAATGAATGTTTCGTTCTCCTCCCCAACCAATATGACGAGATGTCACGGTAGTTTACCATAACTTTAACAAACCACACATCAGAAGTAAATTGATCTAGTACTCTGCATAAACCCATATCTAAAGAACAAATAACTTCATGCAAAGCTTACCTTCTTGTTCCCAATATGGAAGGAAAAAATTACTAGAGCACGATGGGAAAACTAAGCGATAACGATCAAATTTTCATCTAAATATACAATCTCCTACATTCATAAGACTTTTCGGTTCGTAAAAAGAGTGATACCTCCAGAGTTCATCGACAATCTTCCCGTTCGAAATATGCTGCTGAAGCAATAAAAACACATCTTCTGGCGACACATATCCATACCTGAAAACAAACCGAGAGGTATCATATTCATGGTATCACATTTGAGCAGAAGTATCAATTAAGATACATATCTCTCCCATACCAGTGCCCAGTGACTTCACCATTGGTGTTTGATCCAAATATAATGACATTTCCTGCATACTTGTGGCCCCCAATATGTGAGCATGGGCTTACAGATACTTCATTTTCAAGACCAAGAAATCTTATCTCGTCTCGGAATCGACTGACCAATGTAGGACCACACTCGCCACACCGACGATCTCGGGATCCATGACAACACACAAAAACATATGAACCCTTCAGTGCTTCAGGATATCCAGGCTGCCACTCGCCATTCTTCACAAGCACTTCTTCAACAAATGTGTCAGCATCAAAATGGGTCAACCTCCTGCAGTTTTTCCAAAGACGTTCAATTTAATTATGTAAAAGCCTGATCCCAAGCCCACCGCTAGATACTGTCCTTTTTGGACTTTTTCTTTCAGATCTTCTCTCAAAGTTTTTAAAACGAGTCTACTAAGGAGAGGTTTCCACATCCTTGTAAGGAATGCTTCGTTCCCCTCTCCAACCGATGTGAGATCTCATAATCCACCCCTCTCGGGTCGTGACAAATTATGTTTCAACTCTAGAGTTGCCATAAGGATAAGCAAGGAGTTCATCAGAACGAAGTTAGTTAAAATCGAGCTTGTAATGACAGAACTAACCTGTATCTTACCATGTCGGGGAAGATTAACACATCCCCATTTGACGTCTCGGTTCCGTCACATCCCTCGCAAATGGTTAAGTGGGTCTAATATTTCCAAAAGAACAGAAGGTTGAACATAAAGAAGATAAAATATCAAGCATCATACAAGAAGATAGATAATAAGAAGCATTTGAATGCATATTCTAAGTGGTATTGATAACGTTAGTGATGAATCTAGCTCATTAAAGGACTAACAAGAACCTCCGACAAAGATCAGACTAATGCTCAACCAAACAAACTCTCCAAGAGAGCGAAAGACGAAACACAAACGAACCGTGGACCAAACAGAATCACAAGGAACAACAAAGCAACCCAATAAAGAACAAGAAATTGAAAAGGAAAACTCCCACAACAAACAAGGGAAAGAAAACTAAAGGAACCAGCCCAAGATTTTGTCATGTTCATTGAAACAAAGTTACAAACCTACTTCTTTGTTGCCTGCAAATCCACTCTCAAAAGCATTATAAACTTAAGTTTTTTCCAGCTACAATGCATAAAGAAGAGCCTGAAACATAAATTCAGTAAACCACCAGATCTAAAGCAAAAACATACGACATAACAGCAAAAACCACCACATTGCAAAACCCACATTCTCAAATCACTCAAACCACAGAGCTAATCCAATTGTACAGTTAAAGAACAAAGAAAAAAGAAAAAAAATCAAGAAATGAAAGTGCAGAACTAATATCAAACAGTTGGTGGGCATGAAACATAAACCTACATTTTTCTTCATATCACCCTTCCTAGTCATTACGGCAGCAGAGAGCAGCCTCGGGAGGCGATCGAACTCAGCCGACTCAATCCTAGGAGGCCAAACCTGAGGGTTTTTGTAACAAAGAAACACATGGCGTTCATAGAAATCCACAGTCCCAGCAAGTTGGGTGTGGCGAAACTCGGGGCAAGAGAATCCAAATTCGGCGTCGCTGATGTTGGCATTGAGGTCGGAGAGAAAGCCCTGATTCTTGAAGCTTCCGGAGGCACTTCCGATGAGGGAATTTGGGTCGGAAACAGAGACGGGAGAAGAAGTGGAAGATGGGTTTGTGGGGGAAGAAAGAGGGTCGTGTCTTTGTCTGTTGTTACCCATGATTTGATTTGATGAATGGGAGAAGAAATGGAAATGGGTCCGGCGAAGAAGGGGAAATTTGAAGTTCCAAAGCTTTACGAAAAACTGACCTATTTTTGTCTCTTTTAAATGATTCTTTTTTCATTGAAAGTCAACGGTTGCATGAAGCCCGACCAAGATTCCGACCAGTTTTTTTTTTTTTTTTTTTTAACCTTTTCATAAAATATTTTTTTAAATGGTATAAATTATAAAATTAATAAGTGTTTTTTATTAAATGAAAAACTAGTTTAAAAAAAAATTATAAGTGAATGACAAAAATACATTTTTTTTATATCGATTTTCGTTCAATATCATACCGATCTCGATTAAGATATTCCATAAATGATATGAATGCATTTTCGACTAGAATTTTTGGCTAAGACTACGTAAATCTTGAATGACATCATATCACAAAATGCATTCTCGACAAAGATCATTCCAATAATAACATAAATTCATTTATGTTTAATTTTATTTCACCTTAATTTATCCAAAAATAATTCTTTTTCTAAAAATTTTGTCAATCCATCGTTCAAAAATAATTTATTCGAAGTATTTTTTAGATTTTTCGATATTATTGAAATTTTTTTGAAAATGTAGTGTGCAAACTTGAATTTCAGAGAGTTCCAAAAGTGTATATAAGAATAACATGTGGTTTCTTTTAGAGTGAAGGGCATAATGGTAATTTCACATGCACGATATCTCGGTGGCTACTGGCTTTTAAGAAAATTGGTCAATTATAACTTTCAAACATTAAAAAAAAGGCCATAAAGAATAAAAATTTCATCATAAAATTATAAATTAGAAAGCAAATGTATGATATGAGAGGAGAGAATGATCCTACTACTACATCAATCTATCTTAACCTATCAAAATTGGACACGTTTCGTACAACATCTATTATATTTTCTTCCATGGTTGAGTTAAGCAGAGCAGCCTTTCAAGTGTGTGCTCAACAAATATCTATGGATTTCTTCACTCTTAAAGATTTACTACCTTCTATGTCGACTACTCGATCCATAACACGTACCTCGAATCACTTATTTCTTGCTCCCACCAGCTTTCTTTTCCCTCAAAGCTTGTCGCTTTTCTTCCCTGCATCGCGTTTCGAAGGAAAGATCAGTGTCAGGCCATAAGAATCAAATTTCAAGGCTAAACTATGACTAGAGTTATGGATAGATCACAGCCAGCCAGGTTCTCACCTAGCTTTTGAGATTTCCTCTCTCGAGGGAAATTTTCTCTTCTTCCTCTTTTCCACACCCGGCTTCGATTCTTCGCCATTTTCAACTTCGTGTTTTTCCGAAACGACCTTCTTCCTCTTTTTTCCATCGTTCGCTTGCGGGTGAAGGCATTCACCATCGTTCGTCTCATTTGAACTCTTCTCTGTCTCAATATCCTCCTCTTCCACTGCCTCTTCTTCCAATGCTTCTGAAGATTGAGCAGTTGGTATCTTGTTGCTCATCTTCTTCAACTGTATAATAGTGGAAACTAATTAATTCTTAGTTATATTATACCAGTACAATCAAAGGTCCCTACATTACAAGCAATCAGAAGATAAGCATAAAGGCGCTATCGTTGCGAAACGAAAAATGAGTATCTGTGTTTCCAAGCTGTATATTAAATGAAGTATTCGAGATTTACTTCGTCGAACTATTATTCGAGAACACAAGTCCCTAATATCCCACCCAATCCCATTCAACAGGAACTGGAAAGGAGAGAGCTCAACATATATCATCAATCTTTTAAGGTTGAAACATACCTTTGCTACAAAAAAGCCATCCATGTTATGGACATGGGGGTAGAAACGTCTCGTCTTCTCTAAAGATGGGTGAAAACGTTTTTCCCTAAACCGGATAAACCTAAAACAAAAATATGTTGGTTAATTGAGGGAGTGAACAACGATGCTGGGAGTACGTTCAGTTTAAAAACTGGGGGGGCGGGGAAGAGCATGGTGAGTACTGAGTACCCGGGACGTCCAAAATCAAGGCCACATGGAACAAGTTTCACATTCCTCTTCTTTAGTGCATAGTCAACAACTGCTTCATTCTGCAAGATGGGAATGTGCAATTAGGAATATTACAATGTAGGATCAACACGAAAGAAAAAAGAGAGGTTGGATTAATACAGACCTCGTCGACCATTATGGAACACGTGGAGTAAACAATGTAACCCCCGGATTTTGAATTTGCATCAACCATGTCGATTGCAGCAAGTATAAGTTGCTGTATGGGACAAAGAGTGAAATTAATGGAAAATTCTCGTTTTGTGCGAAGGAACCAACATAATTAATGGAATGTTTCAAGCGTCGATGCCCAAAAACACATAATGATGAGATATACCTTCTGCAACTGAGCACATTTCTGGATTTCTTCAAGGCTTTTTGAGGTTTTAACAGATTCATCCTTAGATATAACCTAACAAATGAAACCGAGATTCGGTTTGAAGAACGATAATAGAAGATAAGGTCATCATTGGAAAGATGGCAATGAAGTAAAGCAATATGGTTTTCTTTTCATAGGGCCTGGGGATAGGGAGAAAAAAAGTTCCCAGGGGAATAAAGCCCATTAAATAGACACAAGGGTACTTACTCCAGATCCACTACAAGGGGCATCTAATAGAACTCTATCGGCCGTATTCATCCCCAACACTTTCGGGAGCTGAACGATAATAAACAAGAAAGAAAAAAAGAAAATAATTAGTGTGGGCTTATGTTGTTATGGCATAACACATGAAGCAGCTTATTGTCCACAAAAAACAGCCTAACCAACCATATTGAAAATCCTAAAAGACATAATATACTAAATTGGAACATAGTAATGAAGGTGGGTGGCAAGAATAATGATAATCAGACCTCCTTCCCATCGTAGTTACAGACAACAGTATTTGTCACTCCCATTCGATGTAAATTCGCAGTAAGTGACTTCAATCTTGGTACTTTCATCTCATTAGCAAATATTATTCCTGAGATAATCGAACAATTTAAGAGAAGAAATTTTACATATCACGATTGGCAAAGAAAAGATACAAAAGGTCAATTAAACAAGCAATAATGAGGGCACGTGCTGTGGTACAAGATCAGCCTTTCCGTGTCCTAGAGATTTTGTAACGTGAAACTGTACAACCCTCAAAAGAATCAAAGAGCCAACAGCATTTCTCCAATGCTCATCGGTCGAACCAGATGAAACTCATTTCACAATTCCATACCCGTTTTGGGCTTTGGAAACAGATTTTTAGTTAATTCTTTGTTGCTGAAAGCAATATTAGAAACCAGTACTTTTTTTATATACATGAGCATCCAGGTCCAGTTGCACGCGTGTTAACAAACCTCATGGAACAACCATCTAATCCTACTAGATTAGGAAAATAAATCGTCGGTCAGATGCTACCATCCAAGCCGAATAATGTTTTCACTAACACCAATAATCAATACGCCAACCAATGGTGGTTTTATTAGACAAAATCAAAAAAGAAAACACTCGATTCCCCTGATTCTGGTCTCTGCTTTTTCTTCTTTGATTATTCGTGACCTTTAATTGCAATTTCTTGAAGAAACTAAAAGCCTAACACTAATATCTGTAGAACTTAAACTTGCAGGCATCCATTCTCATAATCGAATTAAACCAAGAACTGATTTGGATTTAACTGACCCAACCAGTTATATTTAAGAATGGTTTGGTTTGATCCAGTGGCATTCTACGTAATTGTTGATTCTAGTTCTTCAAAAATGACCTCAGCAAACTTAACACATGCACACTCCTACTCCATACATATTCCTGTAATAGCTTCAAATAGTTCTTGATTGACATAAGATTAATATATTTACTCTGTAGAAAGATATTAAGAAGGACATGGTCAGAAGATTATTTCAACAACTACCCTATGGACTTGTCCGATCCAAATAACTTTTTTTAATGAAGCATGGGGAAATATATGATTAACATCAACATATCTGAATTAGATACTACATACCACTATTTTTCATGAGTGCTGCTATGTAAGTAGTTTTACCACCAGGTGCTGCCCTGCAATAGTTTCAAACGCTTATATGAGAATGTGACAAATATCCGACTACATTGATGCTAGATATACTACTGTAACACATAGTGCATTCTAGTAGCTACATTATGGAATCAAGCAGCCATTTCATTCACCAAAGAGAAAAAACAAGATTATAGCCAATAGCCATGAACTAAATTTCAGATAAGCCAACCTTTAAGGATATGGCATCTTTTTCATTAGTTTAGAAGAAATCACAGTAAAATAACACTTGTGAGAAAACACTGTAGAACTTGTTTATTCACTTACGCCATGTCAACAATTCGTTCTTTTTCTCGAGGAGCAAGGGCCATAACAGGAAGAAAGGAGCTTGCACCTTGTAGCTGAACAAACAAAATATACATATTCACCACTTAAAGCCAATGATGAATGAAAATAAATATATAATATAATTAGAACATAGTTTACCATGTAAAAACCAGCCATATATTCAGGAGTTGCTCCAATTGGCACTTGGGAATCATATACAACAAGTCCAACCTACAATAAATATAGGAAATATAACTACTTAGTTATAAAATAGAACGAAGAGGGAACCGAGGATAAATTTACCGAAACAAAGTGCCTCACCTTTGACCACTTGCTTAAAGGATCTAGGTTTACACCTCTGTTAATCAGAACATCTGCCAGGTCACGCCTTCTTGTCTAAGAACAAAGAGAAGTAACTGAATAAGATACACATTATAAGAAGTTGCATACCAAAAAACAGAGGTCCCTGTATGTTAATTATTACCTTTAAGGTGTTGGTCCGCAAACATATTGGTCTCGGCTTTTCAAAAGCTTCGATAAGTTCCATTAGCTCGACAACGGGAAACAACTGAAGACAAAGCACGTTGATTGATCATTAACTTTCATAATAACTTTCACTCCCAACACCGAATATAAGTAAAAAAATACACCAGTTGTTACCTCAACTAGAACCCCAGTAAGAAATTCGTTATAACCATAGTATGAACCAATATCTTTCTTAAGTTGTTCGACATAATCCTTCCGGGTCGCCC